AAATTGCCTACCCATTCATTTTCCCTTAGTTAACCACTTTTGAGCCTATTCCTATTTATTTGTTTTCACCATATTAATAAACCCGAGCCTTTTCATTTTATCACTCTTTTCTACCCTTTTCAGGGCAAGTGAATAGTTAATCCAATGTATGATCCATGAAAAAAAAAGAGAAACAGCAAGCAATTCGAAAAAAAGATGTTCGAAAAAAGGAGAAAAGACATGAAAAAAAGGAAAACAAAGAAACAAAAATGTGAAAAAAAGAAATACATTTCGAAAAGAATTTTGTTGTTTGATAGTTTGTCTTTTTGTCTTGTTGTGCTTAATGTTTTGATGGAGTTGAACTTGTTATTGTTACTTCCTTACCTTGAATTCTAGCCATATTATTTAGCCTTTTCCCCACCTTTACCTAAGCCCCGTTACAACTAATCAAAGACCCTTTGATTTATGCATCTTGTTCTTATTAGTAGTGGAGATTTGTTTTACTTGCAGGCTTATGGTAATATTGTGTCGGTTCTGACATTGAGCGTTTCCATACCCCAAACACATTGAGTGGTTTGAGTGAATCCCAGTAAGGTGTTGAGTTATAAGCATTGCGATTTATGAATGAATGAATGGATGTTGCAATTGCATTTGACTTTTCCAATTGGTGATGTTCAATTGATTGATGTCTTGACTTGAATAATTATTATGGTCTCTACCTTGCTTCCTTGGATATGAAACTTGACAAAGAAATGTAAATTGAATTTTTGACTTATTTGATTATATCATACTTGAGGACAAGCATGAAATAAGTGAGGGGGAATTTTATGAGTGTTTAAAATTGGTAGTATTTGCTCGTTAATTCTTCGATCTTATGAATTTATTTATGTTGATTTGGTTGTGTTATGCTTGTTTTCGTGCTGGGTCTTACTTTCTAGACTTAGTGGCAAAATGGGCGCATTATATTTTTTTTTTATTATTTGGTCAAGGCTGGAGGTATGGGCACGGCTCTGGGCATGACACAGTCTGACGTGACAGTTTTTAGAAGGTCCAGTTAGCGGCACTTTCTAGAAGATCTAGTCAGTGCGCCTTCTAGAAGATGGACGACAGGCAGAGTTGCATTAGGAGACTTATTTAAAGTTTTAATTTAGAAAAAACAATTATCTTTAGGATTATTTTATTTTAATTTCTTTGTTTATCTCTAGGTTTTTAGAGGCTATAAATACTCTTTTGGGGTAAGCCTAAACACACAACTCATATTACAATCTTTTTCTCTTTTCTAGTTTTATAAAAATTCTCTCTTTATTTTGTTTTTCAAGTTTTCGATTTTTCTCTTTATTTTAAAGCTTTGTTTTTAAATATGCTAAGTATGACTTTTTTCATGCTTACCTAATTTTCTCATAAGCCGAGAGCTGAAACGATGACTTAATTCCAACGGGAGAATTGAAACAGACCCTTAATAACTTCGGAATATCTCTCTCAATCTCTGCGCTTATTTTTCAAAATCAAAATAGTTTTCAAAATCAAATATTGACTTTAGTCAAGAGGTTGTTGCGATTAAATGTGTGGGAGGAAGGATCGACTTATTGAAAGCACATTCGAATTCCTGAGAACGCACTTGGCGAGATATAGTCTTGCCAAAAGGGAATTGAGATTGGAATTATTGGTTATTGAAGCAACAATCTGAGTCGGTCTTAACGAACTTAAACGGTAATTGATCTACGACAATTGATGTTGATTAGATCAGTTTCCGAAGCCAAAATCAAAGATTGCTTTGGGAATTCGGTATAAAAAATAGAGTCACGGGGATTGCCCTTGTAAACAAAATAACCGACGTGAATCCCGAAGGGAAAATCTAATTCGACGATATAAAGGAAATTGAGTCAAAGCGAGGATTGAGGCTATTTTTTTACCATATTCAATTTTCAATGTTACACTATTTATTTTCTTATTTTCACTTAAAATTGTGTTTTATTTAATCTCTTTTTATTACTTAGTCGTATTTTACCAAAACCCCCTACTACTTTTCGCCTTGTTAAAACCATTCAAACAGAAATTTGGAATTTTACCAAGTCCTTGAGGATCGACCCTTACTTCTCTTTACTACGAATTTCCTTATTTATTATTTGAGAAGAAGAAATTTATTTTGACATCAAAACGGCAGCTGTCAGCAAGCAACTATACATGGTCAAATAGCAAACTTGAAAATTAAAAAGAAACTGTTAACATTTTTCTTAATTTTGTGAGCCACCCTTGATGCTTGATTGCTTGATCGACCCAACCATGGCCGTTCAAGACTTGATGACTGATTTGTGACACAATCTTAAGTGAATTGTGGATTCACATGCTGGGCAGTAGTTAAACCAGTGGTCTGGATTTCTTTCCTTCTTACAAGCTTCTCAATAAGTTTTATCCAAAGAACTTTTATCAAGAGGATCATAGGTGAGCCTGAGAGGATGCTTATCGTACTCGTACGAAATGGTCTGTGGTAGCAAAATGCTACTGAGTGAAGTTGCAATCAAAGCATCTGTAGCTAGTAGAACAGCCAAAATTACCACAACCAGAACATCTAAACTCATAATTGCAAGACAATGGCTTCATTACAAGATTGAGAGTATGTGAATGGGATTCATGGTTAACAATGATTGGTAGGTATTCACCTTTCATGTTGGTTTGAAACAGGGGATTGTGGCAACTATCTGAGAACTCTTTGCCTTTGTATTCACATATCCTGTCATTACAAGAATTTTCTGTATTTATTTTCTTTTATGAAGTTAACAATTTAAAGAATCTGAAAATCATAAAAAGAGAATGTGGCTACAGACTGAGCAGAAGCAACATGCTTGAGTAGTGCAATTCAACCTGCAACGAAAAGGGCATGACAATTTATATAACTCTAAGCAAAGAAACTGCGTCACCCTGATAAAGTATACCGATTAAGAATTGAACGGCAGAAGATCTACTTACTACTTTCTTTCTGATTTAGAGTTCCAGGGAAACCGAAACCAAAACTCAGTCTCTTCCTCAGAAGTCGACATCCTGCAGGCTGCAAGGACCGAGATAATATTGAAATTGAAACGTGAAAGAATGGATTGTGTAACTACGTATACATTACCAAAACAAGGATATTTTCAATACTCATACCTTCTTCAATGATGGCCTCTCATTAGTAAGTATCCTTGAGCTGGAACTCTTCAATGTGAACAGCCTATGAAGTAAACGGACGTAATTAGTCTAGGAAAATACAGGCTTAAGGACTCGTTTTACAGCAACAAATTCAATTATTTGCATCCACTGTGGTTTCACCAGTCGTCCTCTCATATATAAATGAAAACAGTATTCAAAAGATTCTTATTATTACTTTTTAATCAAACACCTACAGAAGATTTAGTAATTTGAAAAATGAATCTTCAGGCAATTAGTTGGCTGCTTCTGCCATATCTTTTTCCAGTTTCCCTCACCTATGATGGTCAGTTCATCTAAGCAAGGGAATGCCACCTACAAAATTCACTTTATTGTGTCAATAACCGGAGGTAATATTAATGAAACTGAGTATAAAACAATGGAATTTACAACTAAAAATTACTAGAGAAAACAGCATCCACGACACGAACAGGGCAATCAAATATTTAAGGAAAAAGAAGATACAGAGAAAGGTAAGGGAGTATCACCTTTTGATCGAAGAGAGTCGGAGAGGGAATCTCCGAATTGATTCCTTTTGCACTGGAGACGAATGTTCTAGTGTAGGACAACTTTCTATACTAAGACTTGTCAACAAGGGGAATTCAAAGTAATTTCCATGGCAGAATCTAGTCAGTTTAGGAAGGTCTTTGAGCAATAGGAATTCTAGTACACGAAACTTCTGGTTCATCATTTCTTCTTTGGCTAATCCTTCCAAAAAGATCACATTTTCCACATTCTCACAGTTTTCGACGGTTAGCTTCTTGAGATGCACAAAACTTTTAACCATAGAGGACGAGAATAGGCAGGTCAAATTATGACAGCCCCTAATAGTCAAGCATGTTAAATTTTGGGCATAAGAATGTGTGGCCAGAAGCTTGTGTTTCCATGCTCGCTGAATGCTGATTGAAGAAAGCTCCAAATCCTCCAAGCCCGGGAATACCTGCATACAATATATATAGTCTTGAATGCATGGAGAAAAGTTTCACTTTTTGATGGATGTGAAAAGTTTCACTATTCATCAACTACATTATGCACCAATCTCTGTAATTGTTTTCATAGTATGTATTTGGTAAAATCAAATATATAAACTCAATTTGCAATTTTATCCTATAATTTTTATTCAGAAATGTTAAATTGTTTAGCCATATGATGAACATTAGAACTTCTCATCTTATAAAGTTTTACTATTTTTTTTTTGAAATGATTCATACCTTTTCTACAAACAACTGTTCAATGACAGCATTAAGGTCGCCTTCCCAGAGCCCTACATATTCACCTTTAGTTGATTGTAGTCCATGCAGCTTTGGTGCGCTTAACTTTCCCTTTGTGAAAAGTTCCATCTTTGGACATTGTCTCATGATTACTTCTTCCAAGGAAGGAAATAATAAGGTATAATTCCCTGTGCAGAACCTTGATAGGATCGGAAGGCGATCAAGTTCTAAAGACTTGAGTTGGGAGAAAATGATGCCATCCATGACTTCTTCAGTTGTAGAAGCTATGATTTCTTCTATCATTTGGCAATCACTAACACTCATTATTTTCAGTTGCACCATGCTTTTAGCCACTGTGAATGTTACTAAATTTCTGAATCCATGGCATTTTGATACCTCTAGAGTTGTCAGATGTTTGAATGACACAGAAGATGGGGAATGTTTGCACCATATCTCCTTCATATTGCCATTCTGAATAAAAATTAATTCTTCTAAACTGGGAAATGTTTCCTGAGAAATTAAGAAATACACACATATATGTTAAATAAAAGAAGATCTTCTAAACAGATAAAAGATGCAAATTTGTTCCGATAGGCGTATACTCAGTCTCAGTAAACTGCATATCAGTTGAAGATAAATGTTTATGTGCTTTTATTTAGTTAGTTTTGTGAACTGTTACCTCAGTGACCCAAAACAGGAGTTTTTGAACAGAGATTAGAGGTTGGCTCTCTCCTTGTGTTTCTCCAAAGTTGATATACTCCCTAGCCAAATTCTCTACCTTGCTGCAGTCACTCACCTCCAATATTTTTAAGGATGGCAATTCCGTAGTATGCACCTTGGAGTAGAAACCCTTCAACTTGGGTAGCACTCGAAGATACAACTCTCTTATGTTAGGAAACACAAACATGGTGATTGATTTGAGTTCGACCGATTGGGCGGATGTCACTGCGTGTGACTCATTGGAATTGCGTAAGTGATCGTCATCAGGTCCAATTATTTCTTCAACCGACTTACATTCATCTATTGCCAGAGTTTCTAGCTTTTCAAGTCTTTTCACCATTCGAAAAGGTAAAATATTTGAAAGTCTTTCACAGTCTTTCACCCAGAGGAAGGTCAATTCTTTAAATGAATTCATAGTGGGTTTATCGTGCCATATCTTTCTGCACTTCCCAATGCCTTGAATGGTCAAATCGATCAAGTTAGGGAACACAACCTGCAGATTTTATTTACGTTATTAATACTAAAAAATAAGTTGGAATGCTACATGAACAAGACAAAACCATACAACAAGAAAGGAAAAATGATATGAAAAGTAAAATCTGTAGAGGATAGAAAAGGATACAAAAAAGCGAAGGAAGAAAATCACCTTTTGGTTGAAGATGGTTGGGGAATCAGTCTCGGAGTTTTCTCCATGGAAGAATGTCGCCAATTTTGGAAGCCTAATGAGTTCTAGTACTTCTAGTTTAGTGAACCAGTAAGCCTCAGTTATCTCTTCTTCTGCTGTCGCTTCATCTGTAAAGATCACTTCTTCTAAGTCGTCTCAATCGACAAGGCTAAGTTGAACGAGTACCACAAATTTTTTTATTGAAAAGGATGGAAATATATATTCCAAATTGTGGCAACCCTCCACAATTAAGATTTGCAACTTGTGAACACTAGAGGATATGGCACTGTGTGGTTTATCTGGCCATAATTTCTGGATGTTAGTCGATGATAGCTTTAACCAGTCCAAATTGGCACACAAAACCTGCAGCCACGGTGCTAATTGCATGAATCATGTATGCTTGTGATGATAAATACACGCAGATCTAGAAATTGAAATAGTGATTAAAAGACTAAACAGAAGAGAAGAGATGAGAGTGACCTTATCATTGAAAAAGGGTGTCTTTTCTCCCCCACCTACCTCCCTTGTACATGCCATTGCGTACATCTTTGGACAATCATCTACTTCAATCATTTTCAAAGATGGGCATTGCAGAGTAATACTTCCCATGCAAAAACTTTTCAAATCTGAACATGACTCCAGTCCTATCTTCTCAAGATTTGGTAAGCAGAATGTATCCATTGCAGTTTCACTGTTTTAGTTTATGAAGATGTGTTAGTTCTATTTTTCTAATTGTTGACAGTGTCCCATCATACGTCCCCTTATTACCGGAATCTCCTTCAGTATAGAATAACTCTTTGATTTCACAACTAGCGATACAATGCTCTTCTAGCTTGTGGAATCTTTCAAGGAAAGAAATTTGGAAATCATTAAATGATTTATCACTGCTGCGTTGCACCCATAAAGCTTTTATTTGATGGAAAAGGTTGTTTGGCAATTGACCACCACTTATCATTGCAATGTAATCAGCACCGATTTCCAGACGTTGTAGTTTAGGGATGACATGAAAACCAACCAAAAAACAATTTTGGAGTCACTATGTTCATCTTCCTATATTAGGATTTAATATTTTAATTAAAATAAAGCAGAACATATAGAGTGGGAGCGAGAGGGTTTATACCTTTTCAACCAAGAAAAGTGGTGGTTGGGAGTCGAGTTGTTGGTTGTGAGTGATGAGTTGTGTGCCAAATATCTTCATTTCCCCACACTCGTATGCTGTTAACTCTTTTAACATTGGCCACTTTGTGGTATGCCTGTTGGAAATAAAACACTCACACAAACAACTTTTATTGAAACTCAAACAAATATTACAAGAGTACTCTCACTCAAAAAACAAGAACTACAACTCACTCTTATAAGACTTTGCTTCTTCACTCACTTAGAAGCTCTTAATTTTTCTTGATGCTTAAAACTAAAATGGGAAGGGGTATTTATACTACTCAAGAACAATCCTACACCACACAAATAAACTAATTTAAACCATTACAAATTCAACAAATATCTAACTCTCACCTAACTAAATTGATGTAAGCAATGACATCATTAATTAAATGATGTAAGCAATGACATCTTTAATTAAATGATGTAAGTAATGACATCAATTTAGTTTGGGTTTGGGTTTAGGCTCCCATAATGGATCAAGTTTATGATCCAACACCCTCCCTTAAACTTGATCTCGTGACCCCTAGTAGGTTCCTTAATCTTAAGAAGTCTTCGCTGGTCAGTGGCTTGGTAAAAATATATCAGCAACTTGATCTTGTGACTTCACATATTCAACTTCCACATCTTTTCTTGCAACACACTCCCTTATATAGTGGTAGCGAATATCAATGTGCTTGCTTCGATCATGGAATACTGGATTCTTTGCTAAGGCAATGGCTGACTTGTTGTCGACACAAACCTTGGTAGGCTCTTCTTGTATCAAACCAATCTCCTTCAATAGATTTCTAAGCCAAATTGCATGACAAACACATGAGGTAGCAGCAACATATTCCGCTTCACAAGTGGATAATGTGACAATCGGTTGTTTCTTTGACATCCATGTGAATGCAATATCTCCCATGAAAAATACGAATCCAGTAGTGCTCCTTCGATTATCTATGTCTCCACCCCAATCACTGTCGCTGTATCCAACAAGCTTGTAATCATTAGAAACTGAATAGAACAAGCCAAAGTCAATTGTACCTTTTAGATAGCGAAGAATTCTCTTTGCGGCTTTAAAATGGGTGGTTGTTGGGGATTCCATGTAGCGACTAACCAATCCAACTGCGTGAAGAATATCGGGTCTCGTGCAAGTTAGATAGCGTAGACTTCCTACCAAAGTTTTGAAGAATGTTGGATCTACACTTTCGCCTTCTTCATGTTTGGTCATCTTGATCCTGTATTCTGCCGGTGTGCTTATTGGCTTACAGTTCTCCATCTTGAACTTCTTCAGTATCTCCTTTGCATAGCTTTCCTGTGAAATGAAAATTCCATCATTTTGTTGCTTAACTTCAATGCCAAGGTAGTACGCCATGAGCCCCATGTCTGTCATCTCGAATTCTTTCATCATCACATCCTTGAATTCATTAAACATGCTTGGGTTGCTTCCAGTGAAGATCAAATCGTCCACGTAGAGGCACACGATCAAAATATCTTCATCTTTGATCTTGATATATAGAGCATGCTCGTAGGGACATTTGTTGAAGTCATTCTCTTGGAAGTACTTGTCGATTCGGCTATTCCATGCCCTTGGTGCTTGTTTTAGCCCGTAAAGAGCCTTCTTCAACTTCAACACCTTGTCTTCATGCCCTTTGACTTCATAGCCTGATGGTTGCTGAATGTAAAGTTCCTCTTCAAGAACTCCATTTAGGAAGGCGGACTTTACATCCATCTGTTGTATCTTCCACTTGTTTTGAGCTGCCAAAGAAATGATTAGTCTGATAGTCTCCAATCGAGCAACAGGAGCAAATACCTCATCATAGTCAATTCCAGCCTTTTGACTATAGCCTTTAGTAACTAGCCTCGCCTTGTGCCTTTCAATCTCTCCTTTGGCATTTTGCTTTGTTTTGTACACCCATTTGACACCTATCGCCTTATGTCCCTTGGGAAGTGAGGTAAGTTCCCATGTGTCATTCTTCTCGATGGCCTTGATTTCTTCGTCCATCGCATCTCTCCATTTCTTTTCTTGTACCGCTTCTTGAAAGCTCACTGGTTCACAATCGGCAAACAAACAAAATAATGTAAGATTATCTTGTCGTTCAGTTACCTCATAGAGATCTCTAAGGCTTAGAGATCTCTATGAGGTAACTGAACGACAAGATAATCTTACATTATTTTGTTTGTTTGCCGATTGTGAACCAGTGAGCTTTCAAGAAGCGGTACAAGAAAAGAAATGGAGAGATGCGATGGACGAAGAAATCAAGGCCATCGAGAAGAATGACACATGGGAACTTACCTCACTTCCCAAGGGACATAAGGCGATAGGTGTCAAATGGGTGTACAAAACAAAGCAAAATGCCAAAGGAGAGATTGAAAGGCACAACTCTTTCACTTTGACTCCCACTTGACGATGATGAAGGTGATGAGTCTCCTTGAGTGGTTGATGTTGGTGAAGTGGGTGGAGTTGCAAGCTCTTGTTGAGATTCATCTAGTTGCTCCCTCATTGTCTGCTCATCTTCTTCAAACTGAGGAAAGAAATTGAAGTCATCTGTATGAGAGTTAAAATCCCATTCTTCTTCTTCGTTGAAGACCACATCTCGACTAATCACAAACTTCTTATTGTCTGGATTGTACAACTTGTAGCCCTTCGAATTAGCATCATAGCCGATGAAGATAAAACTCTCGCTTTTATCATCAAGCTTCGTTCTTCTCTCGTCTGGTATGTGAACATGGGCTATACTTCCAAAGGTTCTCAAGTGGGAAATACCAGGCTTTCTTCCACTCCATGCCTCTTGCGGTGTCTTTCCCCATACACTTCTTGTTGGAGATCGATTTGACAAGTAGACTGCACACGATACTGCTTCCGCCCAAAATTCTTTGGGTAGTTTCTTGCTTTTGAGCATGCTTCGTGCCATGTCGAGGATTGTTCTATTCTTTCTTTCTGCCACACCATTTTGCTGGGGGGATCTAGGAACTGTCATTGGTCGACGAATTCCATTTGCTTCACAGAACTCTTGAAACTCCCTGGAAGTAAATTCTCCACCTCGATCGGATCTCATGGCTTTGATCTTTCTACCGCTTTCTCTCTCCACTGCTGCTTTGAACTTCTTGAAGACTTCAAAAACTTCTGACTTCTGTTTCAAGAAATATACCCAGGTTTTTCTTGAAAATCATCAATGAAGAGAAGAAAATAGTTATTGTTACCAAGAGAGCTTGGCTTGATCGGTCCACACACATCGGTATGGATGAGCTCAAGTGGCTTCTTAGCTCTTGTCTCTGACTCCTTTGGAAAGCTTTTCCTGAATTGTTTCCCGACTAGACACCCTTCACAGAGCTGGTCAGGATGGTTGATGTGAGGTAGTCCTTTCACCATCTCCTTCTTAGATAATAGCTCTAGACCTCCAAAATTGAGATGCCCAAATCGAAGATGCCAAGCCATGATGCATCTTTGTAGCAAGCTTTCAGGCACTTTGCAACATCATTTTGTATGTTGATCAAGAACATTCTATTCTTTGACATCGGCACTTTAGCAATGAAGTTATTCTTATCATCTTTATAGAAAGATTATAATTATTATATGAATATCATAACCTTTCTCTACCAGTTGCCCTAAACTTAAAATGTTACTTTTCATATTGGGCACATAGTAGACATTTGAAATAAATTGATGTCTCCCATCTTTCAAACGGATAAGAATGTTACCTCTCCCTTTCACTGTTATTGTGGAATCATCTCCAAACGAAACATTTCCACTTACTGACTCGTCTAGCTCCACAAACATGTCTTTCCTTCCACACATGTGATTGCTTGCACCACTGTCAAGATACCAGGAATTTGCTTGGCCACCATCAGTTTCCTTTCGTGCTAGAAGAAGAGTTTCTTTGCCATCTGTCTTTTCCTCCACGTAATTGGCCTTCTCCTCAATTTTGTTGTTGGGAGCTCTACATTCTGAAGCATAATGCCCAAATTTTTGACAATTATAACATCGAATTTGAGATTTGTCATACTTTGAGTTTGGATTAATTCTTCCACGACCTCGTGTTGAGCTTTCTCCTTTCTCATAGTTATTGTTGGAATTGTTATTGTTGTAATTCCAGCCTCGTCCACGACCTCGACTTCCACCTCGTCCATGGCCTCTACCTCTGCCTTGGCCACGTTGGTTTCTATCATTGCGTTGGCTCTCATGCATATCCTTGAGTTGCAGCTTGAGGAGTTGCTCAGTAAACTCATGCTTCTTTTTATGCTTCTCTTCGTATGCTTGCAATGATCCTTGGAGCTGTTCGATCTTCATTTCTTCCAAGTCTTTAGTTTCTTCAATCGTCACGACGATGTGCTCAAATTTGGGATCCAACGAACGGAGTATCTTCTCTATTATCCTCACATCGTCTAACTTTTCACCATTTCTTTTTAATTGATTAGAAACAGCTACTACTCTTGAGAAATAATCTGAAATAGACTCAGATGCTTTCATGTTTAAGGATTCGAATTCACCTCTTAATGTTTGGAGACAACCTTCTTCACTTGCTCGGATCCTTGTAAGAGGTTTGCAGCTTCTCCCACGCTTCCTTGCTAGAGCTTGCACTTGAAATCTTTTCAAAACCATCATCATCTAATGCTTGATAGATGAGGTAGAGAGCCTTCTTGTCTCTCTTTCTTGAATCCTTCAAAGTTGTCTTTTGATCTGGTGTAAGAGTAGCAAAAACATCATCATCCGCAGGCTCATTATAGCCTTTCTCTATGATATCCCACACATCTTGTGATCCAAGAAGTGCCTTCATTTTGATACTCCAATTGTCGTAGTTGTTGTTGTTGAGTGTCGGAACTTGGAATGGTGCCATACCATTTGCCATATCTCTCAATATAATGAGATTTTGTAAAATCCGATTGCACGGATGAATCCGAAACGATGAAAAAAAAAACTTTGGAGGGACTTGGACAACTCGGTCAAGGGCTCCAACTCGGCTGAATCGGCTCAACTCGGTGAGTCAACTCGATTTTCTGGCAGCAGTCTTCCAGCGGTGCGTGGCGGTGCGTCAGAACTCAGATTGAGAAAATTCTGGCGGCGTCGTATTCCTCTCGTCGAGACCTTCGATCTTTCCAACTCGCTCTGATGCCACTTTGTTGGAAATAAAACACTCACACAAACAACTTTTATTGAAACTCAAACAAATATTACAAGAGTACTCTCACTCAAAAACAAGAACTACAACTCACTCTTATAAGACTTTGCTTCTTCACTCACTTAGAAGCTCTTAATTTTTCTTGATGCTTAAAACTAAAATGGGAAGGGGTATTTATACTACTCAAGAACAATCCTACACCACACAAATAAACTAATTTAAACCATTACAAATTCAACAAATATCTAACTCTCACCTAACTAAATTGATGTAAGCAATGACATCATTAATTAAATGATGTAAGCAATGACATCTTTAATTAAATGATGTAAGTAATGACATCAATTTAGTTTGGGTTTGGGTTTAGGCTCCCATAATGGATCAAGTTTATGATCCAACAATGCCTACCTGGGTAGAAACATTTGCATTCTGGTAGCCCACATAGCCTAAGGGAAGACAGGTGATCAAACTCGAAAGTGACGGTGGTTCCGGAATCTGATTCTTCCTCTACTTTAGAAACAATATCCTCAACTCCACATAGGACTATACTAAGATTACTGAGTTGTGGGAGATCTCTGGCTACTGAGACTGGAAATACATTCTTCAGACTCCGACAACGACAAACATATATTCCACGTAGATTTTTAAATGAAAAAAATGTCTTTGGGACCGTTTTTCCAAATATATTTCAAGTTTGGTAATTCTATAATTCTGATTTCTCTTAGTTTGGGAAATGAATTTGGTGGAAGTGGGTTCTCCCATATCATCTTCAACTTTCTCAAGTAGAAAATACTAATTTCCTCCAAACTGGAAAATGCAACCTGCACTCATCATGCCAATATAATGAAATTAGAAGCTAGCGCTACAAATACATCTATGAGTGAGAGTGTGTTTGCAATTGCATATATATATAAAAAGAGTTGAAGGAACAAATTTTGATATAAATTTTTAATAATTTGGGGTACAGATTTCGTGGAAATCATTTTGTGGTTCGGATCTTCAATTATGTATTAAATATTTTGTTATATTTATTTATATTTTATATTTAACTTAAATTTTATATATTATAATAAATAAAAATGTTTTAATTATATTTGATAATGTGTTAAAATTAAGAATATAAGAATGCTAAAACCAATAATTAAGCTACCTTATTGACGAACAAAACTTGACTACAGATGCGTCGGTTGCCTTCCATTGAAGATCTGTTTATGAAACCTTTCAATTCGGGACAGTTGTCTACCGTCAGTGACTTCATGGCTGGAAATTCAATAACTTGAATTTGATAGTCAGATGCTGAAGATCCTTTAGCTTTAAAGACATTAACTGAGGAAATAATGATAAAGTTATAGCAGCCTGGGTTTCTTCTTCTATTTCCTCCATGAAAATGATCTCTCTTAAGCAGTAGCACCCAGTTATCTCAAAGTCTGTGAGATGCACTAGACATTTAGCCATAGTAAATGAGAATAGGTGTTTTAAGCTTCCACAACCCTCGATTTTCAATGTTTTTAACTTCTCATAAGTGCATAAAGATATACTTGAAAGCTGATTGTGCCATACCCTCGTAACATTAATCGATTTAAGCCACAAATTCTCCAAGTAAAGGAACGATATCTACAACCATACAAATGATTTCAGGAAATATTTGAAATAAAATTTTAAAAGACATTGAATTGTAAATACCTTTTCATTGAAAAGTGGCAACTCATGTTGAGGTAATGAGCTGGTAGCACCGGTTTCGTGTTGAGGGCAAAAGCTAATGAGCTTAGGAAGATCATGCAGTGTCAGAGACTGTAATTGAGGAAACTCACATTCATCATTGATAATGTATTCAGTATCTAAACCATTTTGGATATGTAGATTCTTCAACTGCGATATGCTTTCCTCATCTATTAACTCCCTCAATGCAATCTTCACACCTTTGAGTTCATCCAAATGTAAATCTTCAGTTTTTTTCAACAACTTCTTAATTCCAAGATCCAAATCATGCATGCCTGTGTTTAGCTTCAGTTTTAGGGTTCTTGAATATCGGTAGCTGCGAAACCGCTCCCACTTCCATTCATTTCCTATGAAAATCTTGTATCTTTCCAATTTCTGCAACTCTTGAAAGAAGTCGTGTGGTGCCGCCTTATCATCTGGGATTTGAACTTCTAAAGTGGACAAACGAGACAGTGCATGTAATCCGCAAGAGTGGCACTGCTTTGTCCCCATTGAATAGAAGCCCTACCCATATATAATTCTTCTAATTTTGACAAGCTTGACAACACGTCTTCTGCAATTGTTTTGAGCATAGCACAACGACTCACGTCTAACAACTTTAGCTTCACCAGTTGCCCAATTTCTTTTGGTAGAAATCTAATATCAGATTCCAAAAGGCTAAGCATTTCCAAGCTGTTGAGCTATCCAATAACGGTAATTTTATCTCCCAGCTTGCATTGATCTAGGCACAATGTGTTGAGGCTTGTCAGTAGATAAATCGATGAAGGTAAAGAAGAAAATTGCATTCTAGTCAAATCTAAGACTTTAAGATTTGTTGTTTTCTTGAAGAAGTCATCCGAAAACGTCAGGGAAAGATCCTTGCTAAACAAAAGGAAAAGAGAAAGCTGTGGACAATTTAACTGGTCAGGAAGCCTGTTGAGAGTAGGATATTGCAAACAAATCTTGTTGCACTTTTTCATTGACTCTTCATTTGGCCAATCCGTCAGAAAATCATCTCCTTTTAAGGCAAACACCTGCTTGTCCTTGGAAGCCATTGATTTTGCCACAATATAAGTAAGATCATACACATCAAAGAATTGATCATTGTTGTTATGATCGAGCAACAAACAAGATGCTTTCAGGGTACTCATCATTCTTAACAACACATCACGTCCTTCTTTCAGGGTGTCGATTCCCTTAATTAAACCCAAACCAATTGTATATCTCAACAAGTATTCAACTGTAGTGTTACGACGCAATAGACTGCAAAGCATGAAAACTTGCTTGAGGTCTTCACCCCGTAAATGATTGACACTCAATTCAATAGCAGAATATATCTCAACAGATATCTCACTCGAGTTTTCTGAGTAAGGCCGTTGTAGTTGTCGTAAAGCCTCATTCCAAATAAATAAACTTTGTTTTTGCAACGCCCTAGCAACTGTTGCAATGGCAAGCGGCAATCCTGCACATCTTTTGGCTGTTCTGGAATTCGGGTTAATTTCCACCAATAATAACAAATTCACCTTGAAAACTATTATCTAGGTGACTAGTGTGAAAACGATTGTACTAAAAATCACCCATTATGTGGAAAGAAATCTTCACCATTCCTTATTTTTAACCTCAGGGGTTGTAGAAGACAACTTTCATCTTGGGTAAAATTAGAATTTATGGAAACACCACATGACTACAACATTGGTTCAGTGCCATAGTTACTAATTCATAAAACATTTGACAACTTGTTAATCATTTTTTGTGGCTTCTGCCTAGATTTTTCAACCAGGGAAGCTCTTTGCATGGTGTTCATAGCTTTTTTATAGCATTGCAATGGACACCAAAAAACAAAGCTCAGTGGGAATATAACTGGGATACTTTGGCTTTCCAATATTAATGCATGGGAAATCACCATAATAATACATCTGTATGTTATGATGATGGACAAAACAATCATATATAGTAAGCTCAATTGTCCCTGTTTCACCATTTTCATTCTTCACACATTTCTGTCTCATTGAAAATAAATGTTTGCTCAATTTCATGATATTGTATTCCTCGATCATATGGGCCTTCAAAACTTCCCAAACATTTATCATTTTTGGATGATATAGACCTTAAAAAATGCCCCAACATTTATCATTTCTTGCTCCAACATTGATTCTAAGCATGAGCTCTGTGTTTGAGAGACACGTGTCAATTACCAAGATCTACTCCAGAGAGATCGTCTTGTTCGAAAATGTTTTTCTTCTTCGTTTTATTTTCAAAATTTTAAAAAAATTTGAAAAATGATTAACAAACAAGTTTGCCCTTTTTTGGGTTTCATAATTGAGACAATCATAAAATAAGAGTTTATCGGATATCAAAGAATTAGTTACTCTCTTAATCCTTCAAACTTATAGCTCATTGACAAGTGTCAGGATTATGGATTTGTTTCAAGATGGCTTCCTATTTTTTAAGGTTTCAGTTATCAAGTCCTTCTTCTTGTCCCTGCTCTTTGGAACGTTATTGAAGCCCCTCATTTCTGGCTTGGCATTTAATTGGGTGTAAACAAAATGTCTTAACTAGCATAATCAATTGCTAAACCTTTTAGAACACTTCTATTTCAGTTCTCTGAAATCTTCTATTTGTTCAAGCTTCGTAGAATCCTTTAACAAAGGCAGTGTAGAAATATCAGTCTAAAAATGAAATTCTTGAGTGCTCGTGTGAAATTGACTATAACATGTGTTCCTCGACTCCCTTAGTCCATCTTCACCAAAACTCCTTATTTAGTAAATTTGATTTAATTTTACATAGTTTGGCTATTTGAATTCAAATTTATTTTACATATATATTTTATAATTGCTTTTATTTGGCTACCTGAATTTATCTATAAAGCAGGAGCATTTAACCAATTGCTCTAGAGGGATAGCTCAAGCTTGATTTTATACATATAATTATATTCTGGGCATATGGATTCAATTTCTTAAGCTTGTCAAGAAGAACCTGTTATAGTCCAGGTGTTGTTGAAAGTCAAAAAATCTCATCCTTAGAGTTCAATTTCCAAGCAACTAACCTAAACTAGATTCATTTACTTGACTATTCCATCTGTAAAGTTTAGAATCATCATCAAACATCATTAATAGATGTGGAAACCAATCAGCTTAGCAGTCTCATGTGCAAGATGCCCCATTTTTTCCATAACCCTACATACTTGAATACCAAGACTATTCCATCTGTAAAGTTTAGAATCATCCTTCTTGAGTAAGGTTAAGGGTTTTTGTTTTACGATGGTTCAAATCTTGTCACTTGCCTAGAGACCATAATCTTAATTCTCAAGAGAGCTTTTAATTCAAATGATTAAAAGAACTAAATTATTAAAACTTGTCAAGTTGTTCACAACATTTGAAGGTAACATAAGTTCAATCATCAATTAACTTAACAAAATATTTAAGAAAAATATAGAACAAAAACAAGTTCAAACAAGATATTGCTCTTAATGCAAGTACAACAGAGCTTCATGGTGGAAGAAATGATCTTTTCATAATTAGGATGTCCCTTATTATTCATCTGGGTGCTCGACTATATTTTTAGGGTTATTACAATCCAATTCCCCATTTGATCATTAAAAGACCATGCCCCCAAAATGATCATATTCTGTAATTTGCTCTTTGGTACCCCACAGTTCTTAGTCGCATGCCCCAAGCTTCATATTCATGGCTCTCACTCCTTCTCTAGGTACGAACAGGGTGACTTCAATTTACCTTCAAAAAATTTTTCACGAAATCTTCCATAAATTACCCCATACTCTAGGATTGATGCATGTAATAATGCTTAAATTAAAGTAGTGTGAATGCAAACGTAGGTGCAAAATGCAAATGCAAACGTAGGTGCAAAATGCAAATGCAAAAGGTGTTAATCCCATAAGTGACCACCATAGAACAACCTTCATTTAGACAACAAGGTTTCATTACACCAGGTAGTCAAAATAAAATTGTGATTTTTTGTTTCTTCATTTCCTTGAGTAGTACTCTTCATGTGATCTAATATTGCATCCAAAGTTGTCGGTGTACTTTATCACATTTGATGACGCCTGATGTCCTTACATTATTTATGGTTGAATTGCTAGATCTCCATTTTTACTTCCAATGCCAAGTGGTCTTCATGCCTTCGTGAAGGGTTTTCTCGTCCTTGATATGATTGCATCTCATGAGAAAGCATCTTGGCTTTGTTACCTTTAAAGGAAGTCTTCAACCATCTTCAAATTTCTTCATGGATCATTTGAACATCTTTGGATCTCTTGGTTTTGATTACATGACTAATAATTTCTTGTCTCATTATGAACAATCTTTTTACTTACCCAATCACATGCGAATTAACTCCTTTGGATGACATGACGATGTAAATGCAAGAAAATAAAATCAAAATAAAATAGACGCATAACAAAAATGGGTCAGTACACATAAGATAAACAACAAGATAGTAAGTATTATAAGTATCAAATAAGACCTACCCTCACAGGTTGACTACCCATAAATGGTATAATAAATCATACCCAAATATGCTTTCTACCCCCCATGCTTTGTTTAACATAAAAATTCTAACCTCATGCCATCTAGTTCACATGCTTATTCAAAAATAATAAGCCTAATCACATGATCTTTAGTTCGTATACATTTACTCGAAAAACAAAATTAAACTAGAAAAATTAAAGGATTCAAAAAAGATTTTCCTTTTGTACTCTCCTCACGAGACCTTCAATGTTTGGGTTGGGGTTTAACTAGGTTCGTGTTCTAGGTTCACTATATGTTGGGTTCGACTCTAAAGTACAAGGTTCTCAAATTATCCTTATCGGTGCCCCTGGGCTACCAGACCCTCAATCCTGGCCCATCATATGCTTTCGGATTGAGTTTAATTCGAGGGAACACACCTCCTTATGTCTATATGGAGTTGAACACCATCATGAGGACCATAAGACGTGAGCCCCAAGAGCTATTCACTATCCCATACAGAGGTGAAAACCACACGAGGGAGTAGTTTCTCACTCCTACTTAAATCAAACAGAGTGGGGTTTTAGCTCATGTTATGATAATGTAAGTGCACAGTGTGTGAGGAAAAGCGAAAAACACACAATTACACAAAGTTCATTACTCAAATCCAAAAAACCACACAAAGGATCAAAAACCAAATTAGAACAAACTTGTAATTTTCACTAGAAAATACAATTAATTAATATGATAATATTAGCAAACAATCCAGTACAACTATTTAGTGGTTAATCAAATTACAAACAAAAATTTATTTTAAACCCGACAAGGGATGAAAAACCAATTAGAAAGATCTTGTAATTTTTATTTGCAAAGATAATTAATCTGACTCTCTAAAACAATTCTCCAGCGGAGTCGCCAAGTTGTCGAAACAATTTTTTTTATTTTTTTTAAACACACCACATGTTTAATTTTTGTATTTTTAATTAAAAATGTGATTTTAAAAAATCTTGCTTCGAAAAATTTGGGTGTTTCCTTTTAAAAATCAAAATAAAA